TTTCGTCCTTCTTAAAATGTTAATAATGTAGAGTAGATGTCAATGTGCTCTTACTGATGTTCGAAGCCCTCACAAGTTCTTCCCTGAAGACTCTTCCATGTATTAAGATCAACAGCCCCCCCATATAATTAGTTTTTTAACATATCATTTTCAACGATTATTAAACATACTTTTATGTCTTATACAATTTTTTTTGACTTCCATCAATCACATCTGAAAATTTTCCAAACTTTTCACTTAATTTACATTTCTTACTTTCACTATTACATTTAAATATCATAACTAATAACTTTCTTCTTTCTCTTCTTTGCAATATTTCATCTATTTCTCCTTACAGAACTTCTTATAGTCCTACTAGTGTAATTTGTTGATTACAGTTGCTCTTCAAATAATTCGTATATTTCTTCCAGTCTTCTGTAAATCTCTGGTCCCTCAGGTTTCGAATCCTTCCTGTCATTTTATCCAATTCTGCGTAGTCCTTTAATTTTGACTGCCATTCTTCTTTCGTCGGTACAACAGGGGTGCCTCTTGGTACTTCCTTCACCCTTAGAAGTTTGGGAGTGGCAGCCAGAGTGAGGGCCTTCTCTGCAGCAGCCCCTAAATTATGGAATTCCTTCCCCACTGAGATACATCTGGCAAATTCACTATACAGCTTTAGGCAAATAATGAAGACTCTTTATCCTGGCCTTTGATACCTGAGATGTCTGTGATATGGCAAGTTATATCCATGTAGCTTTGACCGCAGTTCATAGGTGTGTCATTTACTGAAAACGTCAGTTTCTTATTCCCGTCTCACTCTTCAATCTTGAGGAGAAGCGAGCCATTTTTAAAATTGGTTCTGCTAAAAAATACAAGTGATTCTCTTATATTATGTGCATTATTATATGCACTGCAGTACAGTAACCAGCAATAATAATATGATATGATATATGATAACTTTACTTTATTAAATTTGTTTATCACTTTCCATAACTAATGGAAGTCCCGAAGTGATTTGCAAAACAAGTAATAAAACACAAAAAGGCTAACAATTATGATTATGAAGTAATCAGCACATAAACAGTTCATATAATAGCACATATAGCTGTGTAAAGTGCATATATGTTATACTGTAATATAGTACTGCATAGAATTTGGCTCTTTTATACGTTTTATAGAATCATAGAATCATAGAGTTGGAAAAGACCACAAGGGCCATCGAGTCCAACCCCCTGCCAAGCAGGAAACACCATCAGAGCACTCCTGACATATGGTTGTCAAGCCTCTGCTTAAAGACCTCAAAGAAGGAGACTCCACCACACTCCTTGGCAGCAAATTCCACTGTCAAACAGCTCTTACTGTCAGGAAGTTCTTCCTAATGTTTAGGTGGAATCTTCTTTCTTGTAGTTTGGATCCATTGCTCCGTGTCCGCTTCTCTGGAGCAGCAGAAAACAACCTTTCTCCCTCCTCTATGTGACATCCTTTTATATATTGGAACATGGCTATCATATCACCCCTTAACCTCCTCTTCTCCAGGCTAAACATGCCCAGCTCCCTTAGCCGTTCCTCATAAGGCATCGTTTCCAGGCCTTTGACCATTTTGGTTGCCCTCCTCTGGACACGTTCCAGTTTGTCAGTGTCCTTCTTGAACTGTGGTGCCCAGAACTGGACACAGTACTCCAGGTGAGGTCTGACCAGAGCAGAATACAGTGGCACTATTACTTCCCTTGATCTAGATACTATACTCCTATTGATGCAGCCCAGAATTGCATTGGCTTTTTAGCTGCCGCGTCACACTGTTGGCTCATGTCAAGTTTGTGGTCAACCAAGACTCCTAGATCCTTTTCACATGTACTGCTCTCAAGCCAGGTGTCACCCATCTTGTATTTGTGCCTCTCATTTCTTTTGCCCAAGTGCAATACTTTACATTTCTCCCTGTTAAAATTCATCTTGTTTGTTTTGGCCCAGTTCTCTAATCTGTCAAGGTCGTTTTGAAGTGTGATCCTGTCCTCTGGGGTGTTATCCACCCCTCCCAGTTTGGTGTCATCTGCAAATTTGATCAGGATGCCCTTGAGTCCATCATCCAAGTCGTTGATAAAGATGTTGAATAAGACCGGGCCCAAGACAGAACCCTGTGGCACCCCACTAGTCACTCTTCTCCAGGATGAAGAGGAACCATTGATGAGCACCCTTTGGGTTCGGTCAGTCAGCCAGTTACAAATCCACTGAGTGGTAGCAAAGTCAAGACCACATTTTACCAGCTTCTTTACAAGAATATCATGGGGCACCTTGTCAAATGCCTTGCTGAAATCAAGGTAGGCTACATCCACTGCGTTCCCTTCATCTACCAGGCTTGTAATTCTGTCAGAAAATGAGATCAGGTTAGTCTGACATGACTTATTTTTCAGAAATCCATGCTGACTATTGGTGATCACAGCATTCCTTTCTAGGTGCTCACAGACTGTTTGCTTAATGATCTGCTTCAGAATCTTCCCTGTTATTGATGTCAGACTGACTGGGCAGTAATTATTTGGGTCCTCTCTTTTCCCCTTTTTGAAAATAGGGACAACATTTGCCCTCCTCCAGTCTGCCGGGACTTCGCCTGTTCTCCAGTAATTCTCAAAGATGACTGCCAGTGGTTCTGATATCACATCTGCATGTTCTTTTAATACTCTTGGATGCAGTTCATCTGGCCCTGGAGACTTGAATACATCTAAACTAGCCAAGTATTCTTGTATTATCTCCTTAGTTATTCTGGGCTGTGTTTCCTCTGCTGAATCATTTGCTCCAAATTCTTCAGGTCGGGCATTGTTTTCTTTATCGGAGATAAATCACTGCAGATGGTGACAGCAGTCATGAAATTAAAAGACGACTGCTTCTTGGGAGAAAAGCGATGACAAACCTAGACAGCATCTTAAAAAGCAGAGACATCACCTTGCTGACAAAGGTCCGTATAGTTAAAGCTATGGTTTTCCCAGTAGTGATTTATGGAAGTGAGAGCTGGGCCATAAAGAAGGCTGATCACCAAAGAATTGATGATTTTGAATTATGGTGCTGGAGGAGACTCTTGAGAGTCCCATGGACTGCAAGAACTTATCAAACCTATCCATTCTGAGGGAAATCAGCCCTGAGTGCTCACTGGAAGGACAGATCCTGAAGCTGAGGCTCCAATACTTTGGCCACCTCATGAGAAGAGAAGACTCCCTGGAAAAGACCCTGATGTTGCGAAATACTGAGGGCAAAAGAAGAAGGGGACAACAGAGGATGAGGTGGTTGGACAGTGTTCTTGAAGCCACTAACATGAATTTGACCAAATTGCAGGAGGCAGTGGAAGACAGGAGTGCCTGGCGTGCTCTGGTCCATGGGGTCATAAAGAGTTGGACACGACTAAACGACTAAACGACATAAAACATACATTTTATGTGTATTGTATGTGTATTTTGTGTATAATTTTGCATAGAAATTGTCATTATTATTATTTTTTTGCTTTTGCTTTTTTAAAAACATAAAATGCATGAGATACTTCCATATAAGCATGTGCTCCATGCTCAGGTAAGTGGTGCTCAGCTGAGTTGGAACCACCAGATTCCATGTATAAATTCATTTAAAATGGATTCTTCCTCAGTCCCTAGTTGTGCATGCACAGTGTTCGATTGGGCCCTTGATCCTGCATAGAAATGCAAATTGATTTGCTTGTTTTGTAGGGCTAGGCTGGGCACTTCAATGGCCAACTCTTCCTCCTGCTATCTTTGGGAATAGAAGTAAAACATGATATGCAGCAGAAGCATTTAAGTGTGAAAGAAGTTGCTCAGCAGCTAAGTTGGAAGAGCTGATGCACACCCACAGAGCATCTGCTGCAAACCTTACCTCTGAATACCTCAAGAGTAAAGGTAAAGGTAAAGGACCCCTGACAGTTAAGTCCCGTCGCAAATGACTCTGGGCTTGTTGCGCTCATCTCACTTTACTGGCCGAGGGAGCCGACGTTTGTCTGCAGACAGTTTTCCCGGGTCATGTGGACAGCATGATTAACCCGCTTCTGGCAAAACCAGAGCAGAGCACGGAAACACCCTTTACCTTCCTGCCAGAGCGGTACCTATTTATCTACTTGCACTGTGATGTGCTTTCAAACTGCTAGGTTGGCAGGAGCAGGGACCAATCAACAGGACCTCACCCTGTCACAGGGATTTGAACCGCCAACCTTCTGATCAGCAAGTCCTAGGCTCAGTGGTTTAGACCACAGCACCACCCCCATCACCTCAAGAGTATCCACACTCAAATTATAGGTTTCGTAAAGGGGAAATATGTCCCCAAATTGAAGACTGGTCAGATCCAGAGATATGCAAAAATATGGGTAAGGGCCATAGAGTGGCACAACATCTTGTGATGCCTATAGACGATCATAGTTTCAACCCCTGGAATCTCCAGGCAGGGATGAAATCTGAAATGGTTCTAATCCGAAATGTGGTTTTCAGCTCTCTGCTCTTTGTGAAACACATTTCCTTTCTGTTACGGTAGGAGAAAAGTAGTGAGGGACCATTTCTGAGCTTGGCACCACTGAAATTAGGATTCAGGAAAACAGCTCAAACATCTCACACATCATTGTATCATAAAATTTGCCACAGAGCGATATTTGCCCTCCAATTAATTTGCAGGAGCGGAGATCTGACAGATGGTAATTTCTGACTGTTGTAGCATTGCCATAACTTTTGCAGGGCTGCATTTGCTCCGGTGTCGAATGCATCCACAATCTGTTACCAATTCAAAGGGGAATATTAGGCCCCTCCCCTGACTTTGAAGCGTCCACCTCCTGTCCTTGCATCACGATGCAGGGAAAGCCAGCATCCATGTTTTTCATGTTTAAAGATTTTGAGTGCATGTATATTGCTGAACATAATTTCAAGGCAGCCAGTTTTTGGCCATATTAATACAAACAGCAGCTGAGTTGGTAGAATTATAGAATTGTAGAGCTGAAAGGGACCACGAGGGGCATTTAGTCCAACCCCCTGATATGCAGGAATCTTTTACCCAAATGGGACTCAAACCCATGACTCTGAGATTAAGAGTCTCATGCTCTACTGACTGGGCTATCTCTTCGCTGTAAAACTGTTGTTGGCCAGAACCACTTCAGAGTGCAGTAATTGTACTGTTACTGATCTCCTGTCGCCAACATTTCTCCGATGAAAATAGGGATGTCCTAAGGGAAAGCGGGGCATTCCAGGATCAAATCAGAAACCAGGACGGCTTCTGTAAATCTGGGACTGTCCCTGGAAAATAGGGACACTTGGAGGGTGTCCATGCTCCCCACCTGACATTCCCAGCAATTGGCATTCAAAGGCATACAGTCTCCAATACTGGTCCTGCCTGGAAACCAATGTCCTCACAGTGGAAGGATGTGTGGATCCAGAATTGGTCTCCACAGTCACTTATGGACTCACTGTTAAAACTGTGTTTATGGAAGACAATCTTACTCAGCTACAAGTGATCAACAAAGAAGAAGAAGGTTATTCCATGAACAGCTGGCAACATCTGCCATATTCATTATTGAAGGACCTGAATGAACAAGCCAGCCCATCCATCCATTTCAAACATGAAGATTATCTTTGCTGCTTGTTTTGTTTGCAGTGGGTGAATCCCCATTTTGTTTACAATGGAAAATAACACATATATCATGGAAGGAATAGCAGTTAATTTGGAACCATTTCATGCTAAGGTACACTGGTGCAATTTATGGGGTAGGTCTCTTTTTGTCAGATGGCCCTGTTGAAAACTAAATCTTGGCTAACTGACTCTTGTGACAGAGCCTGCTCTTGTAGAATGAAGTTGGAGTACCATAATGTTAATCAGGGTTTGATTATCTTAACTCTGGGCTGCTCCTAACAGGCCTGTTGTGAAAGAGATGTAATGATTTCTCACAGCAGCATCCTTTTATCCCTTTTGGCCAGAGATGATGATCTATTGATACAGAACCCTTGCTGACATCAATGGGAATCTCTTTACTCCCTGATCTCTGAGCAATTTATGTCCCCAAAGAGCTCTGCCAGGGATAATGTTTTTTTTAAAGTATTAAAGCAATGTTATTTTAAACGCCTTCAAGCACGAGCCAAAGAAGAGATCCCAAGTTTCATGTAGATCAACAACGAGGAAGCCCTGGGCCTAATCTAGGTCAGCCACTCCCCCCATGAGCCCCGGGAGTCTACTACAGTCTAGTCAAGCACCTGTGCCTTACACCTGACATCTTGGAGTGGGGTACATAAAGACACGGCTCATCTAAAAGGGGGTTTTGCAGGCCCCGCCAGCCAGCTGACTGGCAACATCTGCAAAGAACTGGGCAAAGCTGTGTGCAGGGGACTTCTCGAGCTCCAACAATCAGCTGATCACTGGCATTTGGCAGGCTGTGCCTTTGTCCACGTGGTTTAATTTCAAACCATGCAGGCCAAAATGGGTCATCCAATGTTATTGTGAGTCAGTTAACTTGCAGGTGAGCAACCCTGCCCACCTGGCAAACTTGGCCTATGAGCCTGGGGGAGATCATGATCTGGCCTCCTAGCCGGATCCAGTCCACCAAAACTGGTGTAAACCAGGGGTGTGGAACCTGTGGTCCTTCAAATGTTGTTGGACTCCAACTCCCATCATCCTTGACCAAGTGTCTGGGGTTGATGGGAATTAGAGCTGAACAACACCTGGAGGGCCACAGGTGATGGAGAATCACTGATACAGGCTAATCTGTGGCTAGTGTTGTGTTTCATGTCTACAGGGCTGCAGGGACAGGTGAGATGTGGTGTCTACTGTCCATGAGTACATTTGTTAACTGCCATTCAGTGGCTGGAAATGATCAGAAAGTCATAAAACCAGAAGGATATCTGAGTCAGCCCCTTGTTTGTCACAGCCTCTTCTTAAATAGCCCAAGCAAAATAGATCATTCCTGTCAGGGACCATGGGATTTGTAATCCAAGGACTCAGCTATACAGCTGCAAATAAAACATTTTAAGGGACGTGGGTGGTACTGTGGGTTAAACCACTGTGCCGCTTGGGCTTGCTGATCAAAAGTTTGGTGGTTCGAATCCCCACGACGGGATGAGCTCCCGTTGCTCGGTCCTAGCTCCTGCCAACCTAGCAGTTTGAAAGCACACAGTGCAAGTAGATAAATAGGTACCACTGCAGCGGGAAGGTAAATGGCGTTTATGTGCGCTGCTCTGGTTTTGCTAGAAGTGGCTTAATCATTCTGGCCACATGACTCAGAAAAACTGTCTGCGGAAGCGGACAAATGCCGGCTCCCTTGGGCTGTAAAGTGAGATGAGCACCGCAACCCCAGAGTCATTTGTGACTGGATTTAATTGTCAGGGGTCCCTTTACCTTTAGCTTTAAAACATTTTAAGTGTGTTGTAAAATGCATTATACAAATGTGACACTAGATGGCAATGGTGAGCTTATGGCAAATTCAATCTATTTTTCAAAACTTTTTTAAAAAAGCATTTTCACAACGTTTTTTTAACATGTGTCTAGATTCCACCCAAGGAAAAGATGCTCAGAGAATAGGCCTCTTCTGTTTTCCTTCTCCTCATCAGAGCTCTTCAACACTTCCTCCCTTTTCCTTACCCCTTTCTGGCGAGGGAAAGGATAGCAGATGATGAATGACACAGTGGAGCATGAGTGGGTTTGATGTGGGAGGCCGCCTCTATGCTCATTTGAACAGTTGAACATCACTGCAAAGAATGTTCATTCCCATCCCTAATTTCAAGTCATTAGCATACATTATCTCATTACTCCTTAGAACAATCATTTAAGGTGGGAAGCGTCAGTAACCTCATACTTTAAATTTGTGTGGGCTGTGGTTGAAATAACAGTAGCATGCCTGAGGCCCCCATTCGCACTATATTTTTAAAGCAGTATCATACCACTTTCAACTAACATGGCTTCCAGTAAAGAGTCATAAGAACTGTAGTTAAGGGAGCTGAGAATTGTTAGGATCCCCATTCTCCTAATGGAGCTACAATTTCCAGAGTGGCTTAAAAATGTTAGTTTCTGCTTTCCTTCACTGTGCAGCTCTGCTTGTCATGAGACAGGTGTTTACATTCCACAGTCTGTACTGTTGGAGTTTCTCACGGGAAAGGGAGACTGGATGTGACGTACACTGGTTTCCTGTTTTTCACTGTGTGATTCTCTCCGAGCTGTCGAGGAGAGAGGATGCATTTCTCTGCTCCTGCAGAGGCAAGATGTCTTTCTGTAATATACCAGCTTTGAACTGTAAATAAAGCAATATAGAGTATGTAGCACGTATTGCTCATCCTTCCGCTGGGCACCAGAGACTCTGCTTTAAATCAACACGTGGTTATGGGCCCAGAGGTCGAATCGGAGTGCCGGCAAAGGATCGGAATGCAGAGGAACAGATCGGAACGGAATCTGCTCTGCGCGTAGAAGTGATTGATGAGGTATGTGCTACTGCTCCGGGCAGCCTGCCAGCTTCAAGTTAATGGCTTTATGGCTGGACTTTGAACTTTTAAAGCCGGTTTTGCCGGGAATAGGCAAAAGGCTCCCAGGCACAAGTCACTATGCTGGGGAAATCGAAAGTAACTTTTAAGTGTGCTTTTGTAATAAAGCAGCTGCAGCAGTGACGCAGCAAGATTTAAAGCAGCATATGACGCTGAAGGCTAATGCCAGAGTCATGATGGCCCTTCAGGATGCTTGTGGGATTCCTAAGCTCAACAAGAAAAATTACAGCGACTGGGTTCAGTATGCAGAGGCAATTCTGCGGAAAGAGGGTTTGTTTGAGGTGATTACAGGAACCCCCAGTTCCAGTTACAGATGCATGGAAAGCTAAGGATTCCAAAGCAAGGGGAACTCTTACATTGATAGTATCCCCAGAAGAGCTCTGTCTATTGCGTGATAAGACCTCAGCCAGAGAAATTTGGGACGCTCTGAGAGAGGCTCACTTAAGGACAGAAGCTGGATCCACTATGTTTTACTTTAACAAGCTGCATAATATGGCTCTTGCTGAAGGTGGAGATGTGCGTTTACATCTAATGGAGATGCAAAATCTGAGACATGAGCTGCAACAGAGAGGACTCAACTTTCCAGAGGCTGTGTATTCTTTCATGATACTACAATCTTTGGGTTCAGGTTGGGAGTCTGTTGCAACCCAGATTGCTGTGCAACCAACTGCTCAGCTGACAGTGGACTTTGTTACTGCCGTGATTTTAAATGAAGCAGATCGCCGGGGTGCTAGCTGCATGGGCAAGGGGAGTCTTCACAGACGTCATCCCATAGTGCAGTGGAACCACCAGATGGCGCCAAAGCTTTGAAGGCAGTGAAATGCTACTCGTGTGGACGTCTAGGCCATATGAAGAGGGAATGCAGACATCCCAGGGCCAAGACAGAGCAGCGCAGCGAAAGCTCATCGCGCGGAAAAGGCCGAGGCAAAGGCAAAGGTCCGGTGTCTAGGACAACGCAGCACAAGGCTATGGTTTCACGCTTCACTCCAAAGGTTGCAGAGGTCCAGAAGACGTCTAGATCTTTCTTCGTTGTTGATTCAGCGGCCACCCACCACATGTGCAACGATAAGAAACTGTTTGTGTCTTTTACACCGCAGGAAGGTGCGATTCACCAGGCGGATGACCACACTATTCCCAGTAAAGGCTACGGAACTGTTGTTCTTCACAGTTTGGACTTATCGATACAGAATGTGCTTTACGTGCCAGACGCCAAACATAATCTGCTCAGCGTTGGACAGCTGAATGAGCGGAACATTGACGTTTCCTTCAAGAACAAGAAGTGCATCATCACAAAGAAAAATGATTATGTATTGCATGCAGAATATGTTGATCGTTTGTTTGTTTTGTATTATGATGATGTGGTGCAGGATGACACTTGTTGCATTGCAGGTTCTAACAAAGTTTGCATGCAGAATGTATTCACGATTTTCATCGAAAATTTGGTCATTTGCATTTTGAGGCAGTATCTAAAATGCCTGCCTTGGTAGAAGGTATGACTATTAAACCCTGCAGGTACCACATGAAGTGCAAAGCATGCGCAGCAAACAAGGTGAAAATGGCTGCGAAAGGTAAGGTGTCTAGTAGGAAAGCTACAGAACCATACCAGGTTGT